CCAGTCCAGACCGTTTCATCCCACTGCCCCAGCTTTCTTCGCAGCCAGCTGCATCAGGACTGTGGGCAAGATCTCGGACCTCCCAGCCTCGCAGGGCATTTCCGTCTGGGTTCACTAATCCTGAACGTGATCCTGACCATCTGCACTGGGCTCGGCTCTTCCGCAAAGAAGCCTTTGGACTCCCCACCTGCATCCGGTCCTGCCTCTGCGTGGACCTGGGATTTTCTTTATTGCCACTTAGTTCTGCACCCTCTCCTTCCCCACAACCTTCCACCCGGTCAGGAAGGCTGTTTCTGCTGCTGCAGCTCAGCTCAAATGTCGTCACCTGTTGAGGAAGACACCCGTCTTTTCGTGTCTACTACCACCCCCTTTTCACGTACTTTGCAGAATGCAATCGTCAGTCTGCGTGCCTGTGTATATATGTCTCCTTCTCTGTGTTCCTGGCAGGCACAGTTCACGGCACAGGTAGACCGTTAGATGTTGTTAAAAGAACCAACAACTGAACGAATGAATCAGAAAACGAAAGAATATCTTAGCTCTCCCTCAAATCTCACATAAATGTCTGCACAAACACTTAGGCTTGTCCAAGTGATTTTGTTAAAACTACATAATCCAAAAAGTCACTTTGATCCAAGAGCCTGATAATTACGAGTGTTTTTTTCTGTGTATTACAGATATATGTATGTGTGGTACCTATATGGGATCCCATTTATGGGAAAACAATTTAACTATGTTATATGATATGTATATTCTATATGTTCTGTAGATTACATAATACAAAGGGCCACCAATATACTTTATCCTTAAAAAAAAGTACGGAATCTATTTTTCTGCAATTTTCTTATTTAACCACGTACCATGAAAGGTTTCCCCCACTACCATAGGTAGATCTGCCTCTTCTTGTTAACAACTACGTATTATTTTTGAAAAATAAAAATGGAAGTACTCACTCTTGGTGGGATACTCAGAGAGTCTAAGAATGGCAAGTGGAAATCACTGGGAACATAAGCACCTCTCCCCACCATTGCCACACCTCATAGGCCGGCAGGGTTCTGTGTCCAGATGAGGGTGGGGGAGAGGGCATTCGTCAACGGGCAGGAGCACAGAGGAGTGGGGTGAGAGGCAGAGGCTCCCATGGAGGAGAGAGATGTGGGGTGCAGCTGGATGGGAGCGAAAGAAGGGCAACTGGGGGGAAAAGGTGGAGAGCCTAGGGCTGCGTTTGTGGGGGAGAGCAATGAGAGGGTCAGAATACGAGGAAGAGAGCTAGAAACCACCCCAGTCAGGGACCGGAAGTCAAGAGACAGGGAGGCTCTTGGAGGAGAAGAAAAGCATAAGGGGGGGGCAGCTTTTCCGCCCCAGGAAGAAGCTGGAAAATCCGTTTCCCAGTGGTTTTCCCACCTGGTTTTCCAACACCCAGGAGCATTTGCCTGTTTCCGAGTGAGATGTTTTTATCCCCATTCTGGAGTCTCAGAGTTCAAAACAAACTTCCAGACAAAGGGACCCTCGCCTCTGCGCTTTTCAGCTTCATTCTCTTGCAAGGACAGAGCCAAGATTCTGCTTTCCTGATGACTTTCACAGCCAATTCCACCGAGAATCCCACCCCCAGCTTCCTTCTGCGTCTTTCCTGGCTGCCTCTGATTGTTGTGGACATCCTCACGGGTATGGTTTTTTTAGCTTCTTTTAACTCTTTTCTTCCTATCTTTATAATGATGCAGGAAAAATAAGATTGCTTTCCCAACAGAAGCAATTTGGGGCTGTTAGAGTGGACCAAAGTTCTCTCCAAGGAGCTAGATTCATCAGCATTCAACTGCATATATTATTAAAAAGAACCCTAGGGGTGCCTGGGTGGCTCAGTTGGTTGAGCGACCGACATCAGCTCGGGTCATGATCTCACGATTAGGTTTGTGAGTTCGAGCCCTGCATCAGGCTCTGTGCTGACAGCTCAGAGCCTGGAGCCTGCTTCAGATTTTGTGTCTCCCTTTCTCTCTGCCCCTCTCCTCCCTTGTTTTTTTTTCTCTCTCTCTCTCTCTAAAATAAATATAAAAAAAAAGAGGGGCGCCTGGGTGGTTCTGTCAGTTAAGCATCCGACTTCAGCTCAGGTCATGATCCGCAGTTTGTGGGTTCGATTCCCATGTCGGGCTTTGCGCTGGCAGCTCAGAGTCTGGAACCTGCTTTAGATTCTGTGTCTCCCTCTCTCTCTGCCTCTACCATGCTCATGCTCTGTCTCTCTCTGTCTCAAAAATAAAAATAAACTATAAAAAAAAATTAAGAAAAAAAAAAAGAACCCCAGACCAGAAGAACCAATCAGTCAAGCTCCCCGTAGCTGGAAAATTCTGGGACATATTTTCATGGCCATCACTGTATGGAAAAGCCCTACAGGTTTACATGAGTAGAAAATGACAAGAATGTCTGTGAAGGTAGTTATAAGGGAGGGATATGCTAATAATCAGCACACGTCATCTTCATTTGCTAGGCATTACACTGAGTGTTTTAATACACGCAGTAGTCCCTGAGGTGGATACCATATTCCACCCATGCTATAGATGAAGAATTTGAGGCTCATAGAGTAGCTCACCCCAAGGTCACACAGACACTAACCGATGGAGCTGGTGCTGAAAATCAGCCAGTCTGGAAACTGCTCCCAGGCTCTTAAGCAAGCCACCACTGGGTTTGTCTAATTCAGGCTTTGCTAACTTAATTATTGTCTACTACCCCTTTCCCAAAGAGGACTTATGCTCAAGGGGAGCGGGTCCTTGTCCATACTGTTGTTTCCCAGCAGCCAGCACGGGGTCTAGCACAAAGTCGACACTCAATAAGTGCAATAAATGCAAGTGAATGAATTAATGAGTCAGTACTATGGTTTTATTTGACAATATCCTATAATCTGAAAATCTCTGAACATTGAGGGTTCTGGTGATAACTAAATACATTTATGAACAGTCCTATTAATTTTACCTATTTAACTTCCCTGAACTTTTTCCCGGGGGGGGGGGGGAAACTTTTCCCAAGCATTAGAACCTAGCAAGTTACATGAAACTTAGGAATTGAATAAGGAATCCTAATGTAAAGAGAAAGTACGTGCAAATTTAAAGAGATCTTTAGCATCATATAAATATTTATTAATCACTTACTATGTTTTCAAAGCTGTGCTAGACCCCTGCCTCTTTCAGTAGCAAAAGTGGCCTGTGAATCACCTGGGATACTTATTTTACATGCCGAGCAAGAAAACCAGGAGCCTGGGAATCTGTATTTTGTGGCCACTTCAGCTGGCTAGGACATAAACAGAACGTGGAGGCCTGCGGTGAGGAAGTTAAGGTTATTCCCTGCCCCTTGGCAACAAACCCTAACAAGCTATCAAACTGCGCTTCAAAACCATGGACCCTTCGATTTATTCCGATGATTCCTTAAACACTGTTGCATCCTGGGACCATGAGCTGTATCAATTTTTGTTTATCCTGCATAAAGTGGGAACACTGTGTTTATCTGCAAGATACTCTTTCCCCAGTTCGGGGACAGTGACCTCCTACCCTTGTCCTAACATCCCGGACTCCGGTGCACTGATTTGCTGTCACACGGAACCAAGCTAGGAGCCAGAGGGGCGGGCCCAGTTCTGCCATGAGATGCTGTGTGTCCCAGGGCAGGTGGCCCAGCCTCTATGACCAACTGTTGGCCTGTCCATAAGTCTGGGGTGCGAGTGTCCACAATGCTTTGATTCCACAATGTGCTCTAACCAGAGTCATTCTAGAGACAGGGATCAGGGAGCCTCCCAATCTTGTTTTTCTATACTCAAAAGTCATGCTCCCGTGACCATGAACTCGGTGTAGAAGGTGACAGGAGAAGTCGTCTGGGGAATGTAAAGAACTCCATTCCAATGAATTAATCATGGCTAAAAAATCAGTGTAATACACACCTACAAGAACTGATTCTGAAGATAATAATAATAATACTTTGGACAAGAGTCAGTTGGCCAGACAAAAATTGGGTGAGCCACTGAGGTGGAGCCAGGAGGTCATATGCCTGCCTTTGCCGCAGATGGGAAACTACCTCAGGGTGGGGATTCCTAGACCTTGCACGCCAAGGGCTGTACAACAGTAGATCCAGAAAAGACCTGGGGTATTCTGTCAACAAGGGTTTACTGCTTCCCACTATGTGCCAGGCACTGTACTAGGGATAGGGGCTGTGTGGTGAATCCACCTGACAAGAGCCACACTCTCAAGGAGTTAACATTCTAGCAGGGAAGGGAGACCATAAACAATGGAACCAAATGAATCTGATAAACGGGGAGGGAGGGACACAAGTGAGGAGGCTGGTGGAACCCCGAAGGTCTCACCCGCTCAGTCCAACTGCCACCTTATACCCATCAGGAAAATGAGGCAGAAACAGCAGTGACCTGTTCAAGACCAGAGTCCATGGAACTGGTTAAAAGTGGAGGGGAGGGGGCACCTAAGTGGCTCAGTCCATTAGGCACCGGACTTCAGCACAGGTCATGAACTCGCAGTTCAAGCCCCCATCAGGCTCTGTGCTAACAGCTCAGAACCTGGAGCCTGCTTTGGAATCTGTGTCTTCCTCTCTCTCTGTTCCTTCCCTGTTTACACACACACACACACTCTCGCTCTCAAATAAAGATCTAAAAAAATTTTTTTTAAAAAGTGGAGTTGGGGGACGCCTGGGTGGCTCAGTGGGTTAAGCGTCCGACTTCAGTCAGGTCATGATCTCACAGTTGGTGGGTTCCAGCCCCACGTCAGGCTCTGTGCTGACAGCTCAGAGCCTGAAGCCTGCTTCAGATTCTGTGTCTCCCTCGCTCTCTCTGCCCCTCCGCTGCTCGAGCTCTGTCTCTCTCTGTCTCTCAAAAATAAATGTTTAAAAAAAAAACATTTAAGAAACGGAGTTGGAAGTCAAACTGTCTTCCTGCAAAGCCCATCCTTTCTTCACAGCCCCTCCCAATGACTGCTTTAGTTTCCTAACACTGTCTGGTGCATAGACGCCAGCACTGAGGGAGGGGAGAGAGGCGCTCAAGCACCCCTTGGCGGGCCCCAGGGTCCAAGGGTCCCCTCCATCCCCCCCATCACACCCCAAGCCCCGGGGAGCAGCCCTGCGGGGCGGGGCCTGGCCGCGCGCCGGCGCGTCCAGCAGGTGGCGGCAGCGAGCGGCCGCGCCCCCCCCCCGCGCTGCCACCCCGCGAGCCCGCATCATGGATGTCGAGCTCTCCTATTTCGCCTTGCTCGCCTTGGAATCCGAGACTCCAGACGAGGACCAGGATTCATGAGCCGGTCGCAGGGGCCCAGGCAGGGGCCTCTGGCTCCCGACGCTGGTCGAGAGGTGGGTCCCGGGGCGGTGGCTGCTCCCGAGGCCGGGCGGGGACGCGCTGCCCCCGCCCTGCCTCCCCGTGGTCCACACCCCCTTTGGGCTCCCGAGCCGCGGGGCTGGAGTAGTCGGGGGTGCGCGCGGGCCGGCGCTGCCAGCCCCGCTTCTGCCCCGCACCGGGGTCCCAGGGGCCGCAGGACGCGGCGCGCTTGTCCTCCCGCCGCCGCCGCCGCCGCCGCCGCCTCCCTGCTCTCACCTGCGCCGGTTAGTCCGCTCGCCTTCAAGGCCAGTGGCTGCAGCCGGGTCTGCGAGGGGCGGCAGAGGGAGAGAGAGCACCTGAGGATGCAGAGCTGGCCCTGGACTGCCTTTTCACCCCCCAGGTGATGAGTGAGGTCGGAAGATCGCAAGATTTAAAAAGCAACCGGGTCCTCCGTATTGAATGAAAGACCCAGTGCAAAGGCATCACCATGAACACGAGCAGTAAGTGGGTCCTCCTCTCCTTTGCCATGGGAACAGGGTGGGGGCGGGAGGTGCAGGAGCCTGCGCCGGGGCTGCCTGGAAGGAGGAAGGAAGCCTGCCATCGTGGCAGACACATGGCCCCCAGACTCCTTTGGGGTCCTTTCCGTGCTCCCCCAGAAGAGGGATCTGGGTCTGGCTTTTCATGGTCATTTTGCTAATGTTCTGCTGGCAGCAACACTTGCCTCTGCGGGGAAGGCTGCTTGTCTCCTTCTAGCAATGCCTGGGAAGGCCTAGGAAGCACTAACCACCGTGGCCATTGTCTGACTGTGGGGCTTAGGAGGAGACCTCCCTGCACACAGCTGGAAAGCTCGGGGGACCTGGCTTGTCCTACAGCTGCGAAGAGCGGGGAGGCTGGCGCTGGGGCTGGTGCTGGGTGGATGTGGGCAGGCAGTGGGCTGGGAGCGAGCAGTGTGATAAACAAATCATCGGGAAGCCACCTCTGGGTCTAGAGATTGTGAAATATCCTGCTCCTGTGCCTGCAGCCCCATGGGCCGGGGGCTCATGACTCCACACCCCCACGAGCCGCGTGGCCATCCTGGGCGGAGGGGAAAGAGGTCTCTAACATGCCAGAGGCAGCAACTGCTTTGCAGAGACAGGACCAGACATTTTGCTGCTGGGCTGGGCCTCGGCTGCTGAGAAATGCAGGCAGAAATACAAGGAGGCCCAGTCGGTGTCCCTTAGTGTGGTCCCCTTGACCATGGGCACCCAGGGTGCCCACCACCCTGGAGAGGACGTCTGGGTTCAAGTCCTCTCCCTCCTGCCTCTTCATCAGCTTAGCTTGTCCGTCCAGTCGTGGGTGGGATGGTTGAGTCACAGGACCTCTAGCAACATTCAGTTCCCTGGGTCTGTGACTTTCCCGTCCATCTCCTCTCGGGATCCCAGATTGCTCATCGGTAAAATGAGAAGTGTTGGATCCAAATCTGTAAGTTTCTTCTTAAGGCGCCAGTGCCGAACAGCAAGGCCAGAAAAAATCAGTACCTTCGGAGGCTGTGTCCAGACCCGATGCACTATTTCCCCGCCCTCCCTCCATTTCAAGGCTGTTGGCATGGAGCGGAGGAAAACAAAGCAAAAGCCAGTGAGATGGAAATGAAATATATTTATTTACTATGTATCCGTATGACTCATCTCTCTGCTGTCTTCCTTTGTGTGTTACATTGCTCTGCTAAGCAAGCAAGTGTGGCTGAACTCCCTCTGTCTCTTCCAGCCAAAGAATTTTGCCTCCTGATTCTGACAGTCTGGAATGGTGCTTTTGCGTCACACCAGGCTCAGGAAGAGAGCAAAATTCTGTAGCCCCGATCACCTGAGTGGGCCACATGTTTGCATCTGTGTGCTTTCAGACAAGACACGAGCGGCCTGTCACTTCTCACTATCTCTAGGGGGAGAAATATATTTAAGGGAGTCCTTTCTCACTACATGATAGAAGAGAAAGAAGGCTCATCTATTTTTTCAAGAAACTGAGAAATAAGTTCACAAGCAGCTGGCCCTGCCCTTTTCTCTTGTCCCATTGGCAACACGGAATGTTCCTAAATGAAGGAAACAGATTTTATTTTCTTAAAGAAAAGAAAAAAGAAATAACAACCAATAGAGCTGAATACTGCAGAAGATGAAAACTAACAAAAATGCTATTCCAGCCTCGTGTACTTTTTCTAAGTAGGAAGGGTGTGTTCATTTTCCAGGAGTAGTGGGAAATCAACAGGGCACAGTGACTTGGGCAGCCGTGGGGGCCCCTAAGGTTCCTCCCCATAAGAAGAAGCGTTTCTCTAAGAGCTACCTGGGGAACACTGTGGCCACTCGTCACCATTGAAGCTGGTCACAAGCCTGAGAGCCCACAAATGGAAGAGAAGGCAAACCTCACAGGAGTGAAGGAGTGACAAGGTCACAAGGTTATAGGGACAGGGCGTTGGCAGGAGGTCCTTGAGGTGGCCTGATCCAAGCAAAAATGCTCTCCCCTTTGGGATGTGGAAGTTTTAATTACGCCTCAGGCCTGAAATTGAACCCAAGAGAAAGTCTTACTCAGTTTTTCTTTCACTTCCACGTATTGGATCCTCACTCTCCATCTGCTGTGCTGAGCATCTCACCTGCATGATCTGCCCAACCCCCACCCCCAGCCTGTGAGATGGGTGTGTTTACATCGGTTTTATAGGTGATGCCTTGTACCTAATGCTCACTGATTCTTCAAGCCATGCAGTTAGTTGTTGGATTATGAAAGGTATTGGATGCATTGCATTTTCACAGGGTGGGCCATTCCCGATCAGTGGCTCCCATGTCACCATTGAAATGGGGCCAAGCATGAGCTGATTATGGAGTTAATAAACACTTCATCTGGGCAAGGGGAGTGTGGGGCTGAGGTCTCAGGAGGGCGTAGGAGAGCTGACAGAGCTCGGGCTCTGCGATCAGCAGGTCCCAGGTTCATGTCCTCCTCTTTCATGTATAAGCCACCTGGTCATCAGCGTGGTGTCTTAGCTGCAGAATGGGGCTCATGGGACCCGCCTCGTGGGAAAGAGAGACAAATATTAATATGGTGTATAAAATGTAGAGTGTGGTGCCTGGGCCATAGGTGGCCTTGTTTTAGTGACGGCGCTGTTCTCGTTACCACGGCGGTCCTTGTGGTCCCTGTCATCGTGGACTCTGTGTCATTAGCAAGCAGGTAACTCAGCCTCTCCAATGTCACACCACCATCCTAAATCGAGGCTACCAGAAGCGTGATTTTGAGGATTTAAGCGGGATCATTGGAAAATGTCTTGTAAATGTGCGTGAATTGTTTTGATTCATAAGATGCATGGCTCAGATGGCAGGGGAGGGCTCCATCAGTGACTTCTCAGTGCTTTCCTCCAAAATCTAACTGAGCTTTAGTACGCCACAGGGCAGGAATTTGAGAGAAAGGGGTAATTTTGGAGATGATGGAGTGAGGTGGTGGTACAGACGTGGGCAGAATGCTGACGGAACGTCCCCCTGATGCGAGCTGTCCGTGCGCCTCGGCTCTGTTCCTTCAGCGCCTTGTCCGTCATCCCGCACTCATCCAAGTGACCGCTGCCCACTTCCTGAGCCCACAGATCAAGGAAGGAACTGACCCCAGCCCCATCACTTTCACACAGTCCCTGGAGCCGTGGAGGCACCCCTTCTAATCTGAGTATCATTAGGCAACAGTAAATCTTTGGTTATTCCCTCTCAGCGTTGCCCATTCCCACATTGACCCCTGGAGGTCCTAAGCCCCTTGGTCCAAAGCCAGGGGAAACTGAGTTTACCGCAGGTGCCAGAGGCCCTGAGCTCCAGGGTCGCTTCTGTGTGCCTGCCACAAAATGCCGTTCTCCTCACGTGGGTCAGAGCCCCCAGAGCTCCTGAAAACGGTGGCTTTCGTAGGCACAAAACTCAGCACCGGCCCATCTTCCAGGTTGGGAAGCATCATGCACACCACGTACAGGAGTGCCAAGAACCACCCTCCTTCACTTCGTTGGCTTTTCCTGCCCTCTGACCCTTGCCTTGGTCTCCACCACGGGTGGGGGTCACGGTTTTGGAGTAGACTGTTTTGCTAAAGAGACCATTGAGGGGTTATGTCACCTCCACAAAGATACCAGGAGGTAAGCAGACACCACCCCGAGTCTGTAAGAGCCTGAGCTTTGGGGTATGGATTCCTGAGTTGAGGTGCAAGATCTATGGTGTACTCTATCTGTGATCTCGGACTGGAGAGCTCACGTCTCTGAGCCTAAGTTTTATCGCGTATGGAATGTGAGCAATAATGCCAATGTGCAGGGTTGGTGTGAGGATTAAATGAGATCGCATGAGAAACTCACTGGCATTGGGTCCCAGGGGCTGGGGTTGGATCTGAAGTTGAATTGGCCATTGAGCAGAGCAAAGTTCTAGCATGACAGTGTCTAGGAACCAAACCCTTTTGGTTGAAAATGAGCGTGCTGTGCCGCTGTCGTAGCTAGCATGAGGTTCTGGTTATAGGAAAGCCGTGACTTTCTGAAGGAAGCCTTCAGAAGGATCATTGAGCTGGTATCGTATATGGCACGGGTTGAAAAGGGCAAGGCAGGAAGTTAGGATGCTAGCCGAGAGATGGCTATCCTGGTTCAGCCAGGCCTGAGGGCCAGGAGTTTGGTGGCTGTGAGGGACAAGGTCTTTGGGAAAATAAAATCTGCATGGCCTCACACCTGTTGCATTGTAGGGTAAAAAAGAAGGGGAGGAATCCATCAGGTAGGGTCCTGGCAGAGAACAGATGGGCAGTTTGAAGGGAGCTAAGTAGAAGGGGCCTTTGCAAGTGTGTGAGAAGGGTGCAGGGAAGCCAACCAGAAGCTGGGACGGCCCAGTGCTGGAAGGCTGGTAACTGCCTGACCTCTCTCTCCAACCTGCCTCCGTCTCCTGCTACGCTCCCCATTGGCCCAATGCAACCAGGGGCCAGAGGGCAAGGAAGGGCCCATAATATTCGGCCCACAAGGTGTGGTGCCAAGGAGAGAAGGCAGCAGAGTGGGTGCGGGGAGGCATGGGAGCTCAACATTGCAGACACCCAGCAGAAGCAAGATCACCTTCCTCTGCCAGTTCGGGAGCTCCAGGAGTCCTTTAAGAACAGTGACCATTAGGTGCTCCTGGGTGGCTCAGTCAGTTAAGCGTCCGACTTCGGCTCAGGTCATGATCTCGCGATCCGTGGGTTCGAGTCCCGCATCGGGCTCTGTGCTGACAGCTCAGAGCCTGAAGCCTGTTTCAGATTCTGTGTTTCCCTCTCTCTCTGCCCCTCCCCAGCTTGTGCTCTCTCTGTCTCTGTCTCAAAAATAAATAAATGTTAAAAAAAAAAATTAAAAAAGAACAGTAGCCATTACAAACACAAACTCGGTGGGCTACCCTCTAGAGAGATTTTAAATTCACAAAATGTAGATAAAGTAGAAGTGACTTTATACTTTATAAAAACGGAGATCTTTTTTTTTTTTTTTTAATCATGCTTCCCAAGCAAATGAATCAATTGTCCA